GATCTCACTGGAGATAAGAACTTAAACGACAAGCACGACTTGTCACGAACCTTCCGATAAACGATCCCAAGATTCCAGTTCTTTCCTAACTAGCTCAACAATTAATATTCTTCCATCCATTACAAAAACATTAATCCAGTTGAATATGTGGTTCACTTGACATCAGCTTGTACAGTATCAAAGATCAAGGACGTCAGGGATTGCGATAGCTAGGTTGCATAGCACTTCCTACTCCTAGCAGTAGACAAGAAGAAGATTCATCTCCGGCAGGAGTTTTGTAGATAAACCAGCTTGACAATTAGTACACTGTAGATAAAGCATCAAAAGAATGTGAACAGAAGACTATTGGCACTGGCATGACAATTAATATTCTTTAATTAGATATTAGCAGTCTACTATATATAGATATCTTGGATTAATTAGCAATACAAATTCAATCACAATAAGACCTCTTAAATATTACTTATTTAAGATCAAGAAAAATTGATGTTTTCTTCACCCCCGACAACGGAGATCGAAGTTGGTTTCTGCGAATCTGATGGTGATAGGAATATTCTCATCTTTCACATATACATGAACCAGAAGGCAATTCCATGCTTTTTTAAATGTCAGAAATACACTATTCTATCATTTTATGTAATTGTGAATAGGAGGTTGAATGGAAACGAAACCATTGCATTAATTGTTTTCTAAATCCTGCTCTGATATTTATAATTAATCCATAATTATTGATCAGGAGCTATTGATTGAATTTCATTACCAATTATTGCTAACATGGTATTGAGTTGAAGCCAAACTTTTGTCGACAAAATTTATAATGGTCTATAGATTTTTTAAGCAAGGAAATTGATATGGAACATTGAAACCAAAACGTGCTCTTTTTCATTGTAATATTATATTACCACTGAAGGTTGCTTTCAGAGTGTCTAAATGTTTTGCTCGAACTCTCACTTTCATGATTTGTGTCTTAAAATCATGAACGACCCATGCTGTTTCCTACTTAATTAGGACATTGATGATTGAAGGGTTACCTTGCCCCTCTAAAGCTTCTCTGTATTTTTATTCGGCTGCCCTTCATTTCTTTTGGACACTTCATAGTTATTTTTTTGGGACTGGGCTGAAGTTGAAAGTAAGAAAGATTCCATATGTCTCATACGAAACAAAACTACTCCAATTGCATCCCTCAAGACGGGTTTCCAAGAATGTATGTATCTTAGTTTTAATTAATATATATATATATTAGGTTATATCAATTTTATATCCTTTAATTTTATGTTAAAATTTTATCATCTCGTAAAATTTGATTAAGTTTCGTAATGCATAAACTACTGGATACGTCTAATCAGTAGACAACTTAGGTTAATTGGTTGCAATTTCCTCAATTTTATCTGGATTTGAGCATAGTAAAGAAGAATTGGACGCTCTGCAATAGCAAATGGTGCCTCGATCTAATTGGCTATGCAATGCAAGCAAAAGAGCCATCTCTCAAAGTCATGAAGAATTTTGGCTTCTCTCCCGACTGGTGTAACCTTATCTGCAAGTGTGTTAGCAACTGTTAGTATTCTTTGATCATGAACTCCAACAAGTTTGGTTTCTTCAAATCTTTTCGAGGAGTTCGTCAAGGAGATCTCTTATCTCCTGCTCTCTTCACCTTGGCCCAAGATGTTATGAGGAGACACCGTAATGCTCAAATGGATAATCATTCTCTTGTTCCTTACCACATTGGGCAAAACAGCACCCTTGTTTCCCATCTCCTCTTTGCTGATGACTTACTGTTTTTCTGCAATGGAAGTAAAAGGAACTTGGATAAGGTAATGCTCTTGTTGCAGTCATATGCTTCTGCCAGTGGTCAAATGATCAATCACGGGAAAAGCTCCATTTTATGTAGCAGTAAACTTTCAGCCAGCAGAAAAGGGTTGCTTGCTACATGGACAGGGTTTCGATTGGCCACAGAGCCTATTACTTATTTGGGTATGCCCCTTTTTAAGGGAAGACCCCGTATAGCCTACTTTACATATTTGGAGTCCAAAGTGAAGGAGAAGCTAGCTGGATGGAAGGGGAAATTGTTGTCTACGGGTGGAAAAGTTACACTGCTCCAAAATGTGTTATCATCTATTCCATGGGAGTGTTGCCCATCCCTAAAACCTCCATCAACAAAATTCAGAGTTATATCTCAAACTTTTTCTGGAACAATGGCGGGGATAATCGTCACCATTGGGTGAGCTGGAGAAAAATTTCTTATCCTGTGCAGGAGGGTGGCTTGGGCATCATAAATATGGAAGAAGTGGTGAAGTCCATGAAGGGGAAATTGGCATGGGCTTACTTGAGGAATGTGTCGCTCTGGAGCTCCTTTGTAAGAACAGAATATGGTGAGCCCTCCTCCCTGTTCTCCTCTAATAGCAACAAGGGTTCTTTGATATGGAGATCCCTTCTACCACATATAGTTAGTCTCCTGGAGAGGTCTCTGTGGGTGGCTAGTTCAGTAAATATCAAATTATGGAGCGATAATTGGACTCTTTCTAATCTTCCTCAGCCTACAACCTATATTGATGTAACTTTGGCTCAAGCCAAATATAACCCGTTAATATATAACTCCCTACCTTTGCCTGTCTAAAGTGAACTGGACCTTCTAATATTGGATGACTCTGTAGAAGACAGATTATGTTATTTGGACTCTAAGTCAAGAAGCTTCAACTCCAAAGATTACCATGACTCTATCAGGTTGCAAGCTACAAAATTTGAATGATGGAGATCCCTGTGGAATAAATGGCTTCCAAGGAAGATTGGAGTATTGGTATGGAAGGTTTTGCATAATGCAGTTGCTGTAGAGGGTAATATGAAAACCTAAAGTATATCTATTGCTTCCAAATGTTAGTGCTGCTCTCTATCCCATGTGGAATCAAGAGAGCACTTGTTTTTACAGAGTGATATTGCAAACCTTTTATGGAACTTCTTTGGGGACGTTCTAAATGTCCCTCCCCGTGCCTCCTCAATGCTTCAGTTAATGACTGGGTGGCTTTCTAAAGGTAACTTCCTCTCCCAAAAATGCTTCTCCTGAATGATAGTATTTAACTGCACTATATGGAAAATTTGGCTAGCTAGAAATAAAGTTGTCTTTGAGGATGAGAAAATGAATGGGTGTCAGATTAAATACAAAGTTCTGAATTGGCTTAGTAATATCTCTACGTCCTTCTCTCCGAAGAAGCAACTCTCCTTTCATGACAGGCTATGCTTCTCAATATTGGGTATCCAACTACAACCTCCCTTTTATTCTAAAGGCATATGGATTAAATGGCAGTATCCCCCGATAGGCTTGTTAAAGTTAAACACATATGGTGCATCAAAGAATAATGTCTGCAGTGGGGGAGGTGTTCTTCGTGATGAGCATGGCAACGTTCTCATGGCTTACTCAAAACTATTTGGTCCTGGTACTAACTCTAAAGGAGAAGCCTTGGCACTTCTTGAAGGCATCAAGATTTGTTGCCACGCATAATTTAAGGGTGGATATTATAGAAGAAGACTCCTCCTTGATTATAGAAGGGTTAATGCGTTCTTGTTCTTGCCCATGGCAACTGACTTACATTTTTAGAGAACACTGAAAAAAAATTTATGCTAACATGGTCCTTCAACAGGTTCATAGGGAAGGAAATAAGGTTGCAGATCAGCTTGCTAACTGGGTCTTTCAACATTTGTCCAATGTTGCTTTCTCATCTCAAGGGCTACCTCCAAAATGCCAAGCTAAACTATCAGATGACAAACTAGGCTTGTATAACTTTCGCCCTCGTTAAGTTTGACTCTAGTGGATAGAACCCTAGAGATTATTTTTGCTTCTCTTTCTTAATAGTTGGTTTTTCTAATTTTTCCTGTAATCGTTGTTGTTTTCTTATTTTTTCTTTTCTCCTATAGATTTCAGGAAACTTTGTTGTAATATCATTTTAGAGGTTTAGGCTTCCTTGTCTTTCCAGATGTTGAATTAGGCTAATTTGTCCCTCTTTGTTTCTTTTCACGTTTTGTTTAATAAATTCCAAAGTCCCTCCCTTGTTCCAAAAAAAAAAAAAAATCATCTCTCAAGTTGGCGCATAATTAAGTCATTAGAGGCGCAAATTGCTGAACATGAATAAAAATAATACCACTTCTTGTTATGTATACTAACAGGTAATCAATATATATATATATTGACCACCAAAGGTAAGAATGTCGTTCTGGGTTCCTAATTATATAAGGAAACTTAAAAACTTAACTAAAATTTCAACTCAAAGACTTATTTCTATTACTATATATTTTGTTTTATTATTGTTGTCACTTTTTAGTTTTCTCATTAGACTCGTTTTAAACAAGCGAACATTGACTGCCAACGGTAACCATGTAGTGTTTGCCAATTTTCCTATATTGGACAAGGTTGCAAGTTGCAACTCGAGAGAATCCATCAGTGGAATTTTACAGCACTTTCACATTGCGAAGAAAGCATCTCTCTCTCTCTCTCTCACACACACACACACACATATGGAAAGAGTTGCCCCCAACGACAAAACTGGCCAGCTTTTAAGGGACCAAAGAATCCTTCAAGTCTTGTTATTTTTTAGGGCTTAATCATATAAGAAAACCAATAAGAGAAGACTTTAGCATCAAAATTAATTAATTTTGTCAACGAAGAAGACCCACGTCTGGTTCTTCTTTCCTGTACAGTTTCATGCTCACCAGGACCCTTTCCATTGTCTCCAATAAGGTTAGTGCTGGTGGTCATTTTTATTATTATACACACCCTCTATGCTTTTTAAGAGCTATCAACTCCTATATGCTTTTCCATTCAATCATTTCTCTCCCCCTCAAACAACATCCTCCTTTTTTTAAAGCTTGTATGAACTGGCAGCATCTTTGCTTGGATTATAAGTTGTTATATATAAAGGGTTGGTGCCCTTTTACTTTTAGCTCTAGGATTATCTCTCAAGAGTCAAGAAAAGTTAGCTTGCTTAGCTTGATCATCACTTCAGCTTGGAAAAATGGGAAGGCAACCTTGCTGCGATAAGGTTGGGTTGAAAAGAGGTCCATGGACAATTGAGGAAGATCATAAGCTCATGAACTTTATCCTCAACAAAGGTATTCAATGCTGGCGAATGGTTCCTAAGCTTGCAGGTGTACATCTCTTTATTTTCTTTCTTTCCTTTTTTTTTTTTTTTAAATATATAGTACTAATGCATTAATTACCAACGTAATTGATTATTGCTTTAACTAAAATGGTAGCATTTTGGCGCATGGTTTTTGAAGGTTTGCTGAGATGTGGAAAAAGCTGTAGACTGAGATGGATTAATTATCTGCGGCCGGATCTTAAGAGAGGTTGCTTTACAGAAATGGAAGACAATCAGATCATTCAGCTTCATTCACGTCTTGGCAACAGGTATAATATTGATGTTTTCTTGTTTTTGACTTTCCTTCGAAACTACGTTCAGGAAATTTAATGCAAGGTCATTGATTAGTTATTACGATATATAGTTACATGTTGATGGATTTATTATTATTATTATTATTTTCTTGTTTAATTACTAAGACATTTAGGAACTTTTGAGTAGGTGGTCTAAGATTGCTTCACATCTTCCGGGTCGCACAGACAATGAAATCAAGAACCATTGGAATACTCGAATTAAGAAGAGATTAAAGCTTCTTGGTTTAGACCCTGTTACCCACAAGCCCATTGAACAAAAGGAAACAGTAAAGGATGCTAGTGGTGGGGAGCTGGATGAGTGTACTTCCTTAAAAGAACAAGATGAAAGCTGGGAAGTCAAGTCACAGGATCATGATGAAGCCAAGAGTGATTTGGCACAAGTAAAAGATCAGAAACTTGAGCAAGATGAAATGAAAATATTGGATGAAAGTGATCTTTTGAAGAACTATGAAATTTTGTGTGGGAGCTTGGATGTGGGTTCGTGGATTAATCAAGAAACCAATACATCTTCTTCTTATAGTTCTCAAGAATCTAATAACATTTCTGCTGGTGAATCCCATTCCATTCAAGAGAACTCTCTAAGACAATGGGTTGATAGTGTGGACTCTTTTCTCCCATGGGATAGCTTCAGTCATCTTGATGAAGATCTTTTCTTTCTGGAAAATAGCCAATGTAATTACATGAAGCATTCGGTCCCTAAGTGCCTTTAATTTCATTATCATTCAAGCAATAGCTCCTATAAAAAAGTTAATCGGAATAGTGATTTTAGTGCCGCCTTATTTAATGTGAAAACCATTTATTTTAAAAAACTCAAGCTGTTCTTATTCTTTGCCATTTCCTTTTGTTCTGTTCAATTATGTAAAGTTCAATGGAATATGTTTTTGTTCATTGTTTTCTTGTTCTTTTACCATCTCAGGGATATCTGAAGTTGCCACAACTGATTAGAGGGGCAAAAAGCTTGATCTTTGACCGTATAGTTGTTATGAGCTAGGTTAATTACTTATCTTGTCTCCTGTACATGCATGGAACTGTAAATGTGTGATGGGAGTCACACTTCTCATTATATGTAATTCTAAAAGTCTCTATGGGATTGGATTTTAATTACTTCCTTTTTGGTTTTCTTTTTAGAATCAAATTTTAATAGTTTTATTGGCTTTCATTGTCATAATCCAAATTTTGAGTTATATATTTTCCTTCAATTTTATCCTTTTTAAGTTTTTATTTTTTATCATCCTTTTTCATTTATTTTTTTATTTTTTTTCCAATTTTCATTTCATTTCATTTTATTTTTAATTTGGTATTTAATACAAATAAAAACATATATAAAGAATAAAAAATACAATAAATAAATAAAGTACAAAACACAAAAAATTAATTACATTAGGGGCATGATTGAATAAAAAGAATTGAAATTCAAGTAACCGAGGATACAATCGAAACAATTGAAAACCTTAGAATTGAAATTACTAGAGATATAAGGACCTAATTACAAAAATTAAAAGTATAGAGATTACAATAACATGCCCAGCAGGTACAATTGAAATAAAATCAAACCTACAGAGACCTAAATCAACATAGGATACGAACGACAAGACCAATTCAGGATCACTCGAGCTACTTGTTGTCCAAGCCTTTCCAACGAACGTTCCAACATGCATGCTAGCTCTCGCATCTCACCATCCTCTAGCCTTGTTCATCTTCATCAATGAAGACAACGGACCAAAGGGACAACAAGCCGGCTCTCTCCTTATGCCGCAATTCTCATTTAGGAATTGCAGTGTACCCTTCATTTTGCGATGCTTGCATCATGCCCGCACACAAAACACAATGCACAAATATTAAGCATAAGTTTTGGCTTTATTCATATAGAGCCAAAATAGACGAGTAAGTTAGAAAATTTATTTTGTTGTGAAGGAGTTTGGATTTAAGGGAATTGATCCCGAAGTGAGGAAAGGACTTTTTGGTATAAATATGGGTCAAATAAGGACTTTCAAAACAAGAATAATTGAGAGCAAAAAGAGCAACAAAGAGAGGAAATGTAAGAACAATTGAAAGGCGAGAGAGTAAAAGTAGCGAGAGAGAGGAGAGGAGAGAGTGAAGGGAAATTCGAAGAAAGAAAGGGAGAGAGTTCGGACGAATTATGAGCAAAAGACAAAAAGGGAGAGTGAAGGGAAAAAGGAGAGAAAAAAACAAAAATAAATTTCAAAGAAAATTTAGAGGCTTAAAGCTCTTCATCGGACAATTGGAAGAAGGTGATCTTGACACCGGCATCACCAAATTAGCTTCTATAGTTCCTAAGTTTTAGAAGTACACCTGTTTCACCTACTGGAGTAGCCACCATCCGTTGTCACTCGCCCATCCTCAACCTAGGCTCCCTCAATCGGACACCTAGGTAAATTCTTCATTTGATTTGTAGTTCTAATTACATCAAAGTAGTACCTAATAGTTCTAAGACGAACGATGACGGTGATATTCATCACTACCATCACACGAAACCCCTACCCCTTTTAATTTCTTTCATTGTTGCATTTAATTTTGTGAGAAAAAAGTGTTTTAATGGCTCATGAGGGTTAGATTTTAGGGTTACTCGTTCGATTTTGGGTTTAGACTTAGGATTTGGGGTTGGATTGGGATAAGGCATGTGACCTAGGCTTCGAAGATTTGCAAGATGGAAGGAAAAAGAGAGATTTAAAGTTGCACGTAAGCTTGATTTTAGGTTTTCTTATTCAATTTCAAGTTTTGATTAAAGAACGGGACTAGTTTATGGTAAGTAATAAATCTAGGGTTTGGGATCTATGAGACGAGGGAGAGAAGTTGGTTAAAGGTTTTGGTCTCTCTAAGAGATGAATATAAGAGAGGAGATACTAGGAAGTTAAGGGGATTGATTGAGTGAGAGGGAGAAGATGAACTCAATTGAGGTAGGAGGCAAAACTTAGGGTTTCTAGGTTTGAGAGAGAAGAAAGGAGATCGGGTTATTCTTTTAATGATTGGGTTTAGAACAAAGAGATCATTCAATCTCACCGAGAGCTTCGAAGACTATGTCGAAAGAGAAGCGAGAGAAGGGAGAAGACAAGTGATTTAGGGGTTTGATTTTAGGAGGAAGTGTTAACTTAGCTTTTAGGTTTGAAAGAGAAGATAGGGGATCAAGCTTTTCTTTATGAGTGATGGCTTAGGGAGAGATTGAAAAGGAAGTTTAGGTTGTAAGAGCGGCTAGATTGAAGGACGAGAAGATAAGGGAGAATGTGAGAGATTCAAAGGTTTTGATCTTTGTTGATTTAGTAATGGTTGAGAAAAATGTTACTAGGCTTTGGATTAGTCTTGCTGAAACAAAATTGGACCCGACCAATGTGAAGGGTTGAATGGGCTGAGTTTTGGTGTAGCTCTGTACAAATCGAAGCTTAGGTTGAGCTTAGCCTAGCCCAAGCTTGAGTGAAGAACAAAGGCTAATTAGGCTCAAAAAGCCCAATAACCTTAATTTTAGCTATTTTCTTAGGAAAATTAGTTTGGAAATGTTAATACATGTTTTTTTTTTATTTTATGCCTAGTTTAGATTTAATATTTTAAATTTTGAGTCTCTTACATTTATTTATTTACTTAGTCAATGTTTAGTTTTTAGGCTTTATTTTAATAATTAGATTATATAATTAATAGGTGAACGAATCGTCAAGTCTTTTAATTTTTAAGAACCGATGACAACTCCTCACCAATAAAAAATAAAATAAAATAAAAATATTAGATGAATAAAAAAAGAAAATGATAAAAAAATGATGAGACATTAAAAAAAATAAAATAAAGAAAGGAAAAAAAGGGAGAGAAAATGCTAGGTGAAATTATAAAAAATAAAAAAAGAAAAGAAAAAAAAACACTAGATAAAAATTAACAAAGTCTTATATCCAATAGGGACCAATTTTAACTCAAATTAATTACATCTTAGTAATTAGATAGTTCTCCAATATACCAGTTATGTTGAGACTTATATTAGATCCGATATTAAATTGATGAGACACCTAATAGAGGGGTCCGATGATCGGTTCGGTATGATGCTACAAAAAAAATAAAAAAAATTAATTTAGCTTAGGAAATAAAACTTGAAATTTTGACTTATGATTAATTTTGACAAAAATAAAAAATTTTAGGAGATAAACTTTAGGGCTAAACTAGACATGATATTTTTTTTAAGAAATGATGCTTTTGGGTGATTAATATATTCTCAAAGGCATAATCAATTTCTTACTTTAGAATCTTTGAACTAATATCCATTTTAGGTTTCTAGTTACTTTTAATGCTAAGTGGCAACTTCAAAATAATAAATAACTCATATCTCCAAATAAATAAAATTAAAAATAAAATTAAAAATAAATTTTTTGGAGTCCCTCGAATACCGGTCGACGACGGAATGATAGCTCGACTAGGAATTAGAGTTAGGTCATAAGCTTACTCTTGTCCGATTTATCTCCTTTATTTTGTTTTTGCTATTTATTTTTCAAGCCATTCATTTATTTTAAATTCTTATAAATATCTTGAACCTTTTAATTTTTGTAATTTATTTTCTTTTAAGTTCCGTATATAATTTATAAACTGGATTGGATGTGTTATTTTGAATTATTGTACACACCATAAAGGAAGCTCGCGTAAACTTTGAACCCAAGCCGAAACCCTATTGAGATTTAGATAAAGAGATTCGGATGCAAGTATGAAGAAAGTCTACCGATGCTCATCCGGACTCTCGTTTGGATTGGAATCATCCTATGCATGGGAAATTCTAAAATGGCCTTCCTATACCTCTTGATGTATAAGGTTAGAGGCTAAATTATCCGATTGATAATTTAGACGAGTCTGGAAACTTGATGCATAACGAGGCTATTTTTAGGGCAAGCCACCCCGCATGATGAGGCTATCACATTCTACTTTTTAAGGTGAACCACCCAACACAATAAGGTTAACGTATTTTACTTTTTAGGGTAAGCTATCCTTCACAATGAAACTATCGTATTTTATTTTTTAGGATAAGTCACCCTACACAATGAGACTATCGCATTTTATTTTTTAAGGTAAGCCACCCTATATAATGAGATATTTGCATTTTACTTTTTAAGGTAAGCCTCCTTGCATAATAAGGTTCTTGTATTTTACTTTTTAGGGTAAGTCCTCCTATACAATGAGGCTATCGCATTTTATTTTTTAGGGCAAAAAGCCCTACATAATGAGATTATCCTATTTTACTTTTTAGGGTAAGTCATCTTACATAATAAGGCTATCACATTTACTTTTAGGGAAAGTCATCCCGCATAATGAGGCTATCACAATTTACTTTTTATGGTAAGTCACTCTCCATAATGAGGCTATTGCATTTTAGTTTTTAGGGCAAGCCACCCTACACATTAAGGTTATTATATTTTACTTTTCAAGATAAGTCACCCTTCACAATGAGGTTATTGCATGTTTGCTTTTAGGACGAGTCTCCTAGGATAATCAAATCATTTTCCACTCAATTTACTTTTTTTTTTTTTACAAACTCAATAAGCAAACTTAATCTGAAGTTCACACTACAACTAGCATTTGTACCGTTAGCATTGTAAAAAGGAAGCAATTATAAGAACCTAAATTTTGGGTTATATATTTTTCTCTAATTTTATCCCTTTTAGGTGTTAATTTTTTTTATTATCCTCTTTCATTTATTTTTTTATTTGTTTCTTATTTTGTTCATTTCATTTTATATAATTTTGGTATTTAAAAAAAAAACATATAGAAAGAATCGAAATACAAAAAATTAATTACATTAGAAGCGTGATTGAATAAAATAGAATTGAAATTGAAGTAATTAAGGATACAATCAAAAAAATTGAAAACCCTAGAACTAAAATTATAATATATAGGGACCTAATTGAAAAAATTAAAAGTATAAAAGCCGTATTGACACGTTAGATGGTAAAATTGAAACAAAATTAAACCTAGAGGGACCTAAATCAACATAAGACATGAACGACAAAACCAATTCCGGATTACACAAATGACTTGTCATCCAAGCCTCCCTAGTAATGTTCCGGAATGCCGACTCTTGTATCTCATAATCCTCTTGCCATGTTCATCTTCATTAATGAAGACAACATGCCAAAGGGACAATAAACCAACTCCTCTTTGTACTAGAATTCCTTATTCGAGAATTGAATTATACCCTTCCCTCTATCATGTTACACCATACCTATACACAAAACACAATGCACAAACATTTAGCATAAGTTTACAAAGCCAAAATGGACAATAAGTCGGAAATTTTGTTTTATTGTGAGGGAGTTTAGATTTAAGGGAATTGATCCCACGAGTGACGGGAGGACTTTTAGGTTTAAATAGGGGTTGCATTAGGGTTTCCATGGCAAGAACAATTGAGAGCAAAAAAGAGCAACAAATAGAGGAAAAGCAAGAATAATTGAAAAATAGAGACTAAGAGCAACATAGAGAGAAGATGAGAGGGTGAAGGGAAATTCAAAGAAATAAAGGGTGGAGAGTTTAAAGGAATTGTGAGCAAAAGACAAAGAGGGAGAGTGAAGGGAAAAAGGAATAAAAATGAATTTCAAAGAAAATTTAAAGGCTTAGGGTTCTTATCGAGCTACTAAAAGAAGGTGATCTTGATGCCAACATACTAAATTAGCTTTTGTAGTTCCTAAGTTTTAGAAGTAAACTCTTTCACTTTCTAGACCAACCGCCATCTATTGTTACTACCCATCTTCAACCTAGGCTCCCACAATCGAACACCTATGTAAGAATCTCTCTTTGATTTGTAGTTCTAGTTGTATTACTATAGCCACTAGTAGTTTCGAGATGAACAATGATAGTGATATTCATCACTACTAACACATAAATACCGCTACCCTCTTTTCAATTTCTCTCATTATTGCATTTGGTTTTGTGAGAAAGAAGGGTTTTAATGGCTCATGAGGGTTAGATTTTAGGGTTACTTCTTCAATTCGGGTTTAGACTTAGGATTTGGTTGGATTGGGACAAGGAATGTGACTTACGTTTTAGAGATTTATAAGATGGAAAAGAAAGGAGGATGAAGGCTTGATTTTTGGTTTTCTTATTCAATTTCAAGTTTTGATTGAAGAGCGAGGCTAGTTTATGGTAGGTAATAAATCTAGGGTTTAGGATCTACGAGACGAAGGAGAGAAATTGGTCAAAGGTTTTAGTCTTTCTAGAAGTAGAACTTAGGAGAGGAGATAGAATTAGGATTTGAGGTGATCGATTGAGCAAAATGGAGAAGATGAACTAGGTTGAGGTAAGAGGCAAAAGTTAGGGTTTTTGAGTTTGAGAGAATAATAGAGATTGGGCTATTCTTTTTAAGTGATGGGGCCTAGAACAAAGCGATCGTTTGATCTCAATGAGAGCTTCAAAAACTAGGTCAAGGGAGGAGCAAAGAAGGGAGAAGATGAGTGATTTAGGGACTTGATTTTAGAAGGAAGTGGTAGCTTATCTTTTGGGTTTGAAAAAGAAGAAATGAGATTAGGCTTTTTTTTTTTGTTTTTGAGTGATGGCTACGGAAGAGATTGAAGAGGACGTTTAGGTTGTAGGAGAAGCTAGTTTGAAGGAGGAGGAGATAAGAGAGAAGGAAAATGATTCAAAGGTTTTGATCTTTGTTGATTTGGGAATGGTTAAGAAAAATGTTAGCAAGCTTGGGGTTAGTCCGGCTAAAACAAAATAAGAAAGAGGATGGTCTATGTGAAAGGTTGAAAGGGTTGAGCTTCGACCTAACCCTTATGCAACCAAGCTTGGGCTGCACTTAACCCAACCTTAGCCCAAGTAAAGAACATAAGGCAGAGCTAGCCCAGTGGGTCGAAGGCCCACAAGACCCAAAAAGCCTAATAACCCTAATTTTAGCTATTTTCCTAAGAAAATTAGTTCTAAAATTTTAATACATGCCTTTTATTTTATGCCTAGTTTAGATTTAATATTTTGAATTTTGATTCTTTTATAGTTATTTATTTACTTAGTTAATCTTTAGTTTTTAGGCTTTATTTCAATAATGAGATTAGATAATTAATAGATGAATGAATAATCTTGTTTTCTAATTTTTAAGGATCGATAACGACTCCTAACCTAAAAAAATAAAATAGATGTCCCAAGCCTTCTTAAGAACACCATTCTTCCATCCACTTCGCCATTGCCGGTGGCGAGCGAGACGTCTCTTCACCGGCTAGTGACCCCCAAGTAAATAAATGGAGGGATTTATTTGTTAAAAATCGTAGTCCCGAGTTCTACCTCAAACTCACTCATTTCTTATGTATTATGGGAACTAAAACGTGTACTTTGCTAGATGAGGATTCTAAATGTGATTTATGAAAACTATGTTTGGTCGGTTATGTTGTTGGAAAATCTCCGGGCTTTCAAGCTCTTAGTGCCATTATAAGCAACTCATGAAAATATAAAGCCACTTTGTCGATACATGACTCGAGTTGGTTAGTCTACAAATTTGATTCCGAAGAGGAACAAGCTGATCGTTTTGAACGGAGGTCCATACTTGATTTATGGCGAGGCCTTTGATTTTGAGGTCTATGTCGGAATTTTTTGCTTTCTCTCATGGGGATATGTCCACGGTTCCGGTGTGGGTTAAGTTTCCCAATCTCCCCTCAAATGTTGATCCACTACGTGTTTATCCAAAATTTCGAGTCTACTTGGTAAACCAATCCATTGTGACGGAGTTGACAACCTCTATGGATAGAATCTCGTATGCTAGAGTCTTAATAGAGTTGAACATTATGGATGACTCGTCAAGGATGATCAGCCTTGTTCTACCGAATGGGTCCAAGCTTCTCCGACTTCGTGGTTTATGAGACATTACCAATTTCATTGTAAAACTTATCGAACGTTGGGGCATTCTACTTCGAGTTGTAAAAAAATGACCCCGGTTCCTATCGTGAATACCAAAAGGCTCGATGTTGTAATGGTTGGGGTAAATCGGTTAAGGGTCAATGTGTTACAAAGGCTTAGTCCTGCTCGTTGCCACTTCTTCGTTCTCCGCACCGACCGAGCAATATGATCCTATGCACTCTAAGATTGTTGTTGCTTCCAACGGATGAGAACCAACCCATAGTAAATTTATAGGGAAAAATCGAAGCCCACGGGACCACGAGCTCCTTTTGAATCCGCTCCAAGTAAGAGTCTCAAGTTTAGTAACACGAAAGGTAAGGCATCCGCGACTAGGATGGGGGCTACTTATGACAATGATGGGAGCTACGGTAGGCTAGGTAGCCTAAATGCCGAGGTTGCTAGCCTTAGTGGCGACGACTGCTCGTGGATATGGACGGATTGGATGTGGCTCGGATACTAGCAAAAATCGAAATGGGCATTCACAATGTTAGTGATAACGAGTGCAAAAGAGTCACCTTCCAACACTCACGAGTAGGAGAATAAAACTATAAGGGTGCAAAGCTTGATGAGGCCTCCCAACGGATGCCCACTCGGAGTGGGAGAATGCGGACTAGGGGTGGAGGTAGTCGGATGGTTGCCACCCCCGCCCTTTAATGTTAATTTACTACCGAAATGTCAAGGGTCTTAACGACCTCCCGAAGCAACATAGAGGCAACCGGCCTTATAAAGAAAAAGAAAATGAATTTATCGAAACAAAGCTTAGTTCTTTAAAGCTTACTCAAATGCACAAGCTTCGGCTACGAATTGGAGCTTTATGTCGAATGCCGATGTAGCTCCATATGCCCACATTGCTCTTTTTTGGAATCCCATAACAGTCTTGATTGATCCGCTCTCTGCCTCTCCATAAGGGCTAAATGTCCGAATCATCGGTCTTGTTCGGCGGGTTAGCTTTCATGCCACTTTTGTGTATGGGTTCCATATTATTATTGATAGGCGAGAGCTCGGGATGATCTTCGCGAGTGGACTCCTCGGTGCCCATGGATTATTTTAGAGGATTTCAACTCTTGCAAAATGACAAGTGTAATAGGAGGACAGTTTTCAATTATGAGACCTCGGACTTTAGATTGTCGTCGCTTGGACCTCGGCTTGCTCGACCTCCACTATTCTAGCGACCACTATACCTAGAATAGAGGTATCGTCCGGATGAAATTAGACGAGTTTTGGTCAACCCCTCTAGTCCTCGCTTCGACTGCCCTCTTCGTCCATTTCAACCCTTCGGGAGCCTTCTCCGATCATGCGGTAGCTTCGATGCTTCAAATTCTTTAACATGTGGGCCTCTCATGATAGCTTCCTTCACATTGTTAGCCATCACTAGCAAGAAAATATCCAGGGCTCTCATATGTTTATTCTTTATCGAAAGTTACGAGCTTTTAAAGCGACCTTTTAAAGGTTTCAACAGATTACATTTTAGTCATATTTCAAAGCGGGTGGCTAGAGCGAGAATCGGATTCGTAGCTTAACCAGAAGCTCTTCGACATTACAGGGAAAACTCTCGGCTTCTAGAATCCGAAAAGCAATTAAAGCTTCGGGTGGTTAATCTCAAATCGATAAAAAAGTCGTTCTTTGGCCAAAAGCTAAAATATAAGTTCCTCAAGGATTGTGATGCAAGCATTAGGTTCTTTCATGCTCTTATGGGTCGGACCCACCGAAGGAATTATATAACGACTATACAATGTAGCAATGGCTAGACCACTACTTTAGCTATTGACGCGGGGAGGAATTTGTTTATTACTTTAGGAATCTTCTTGGCTCGACTAGGGAAACCCTTCCCCTTGACATAGAGGTTATCACTTCGGGCCTTGCCTTGATCAAAAAGTGAAGGACCCGTTGCTCACCCATGTCCGCAATGAAGACATCAAGAATGCTCTATTTGTAATTGATAATAACAAGGCACCGAGGCTTGATGGTTACTCCTCGTCGTTCTTCAAAAAAACTTAGGACATAGTTGGCCTCGACTTTTGTCTTGTCGTTAGGGACTTTTTCCTCTCTAGGAAAATCTTGAACTAAATCAATCACTCTATAATAGCTTTGGTTCTCAAGTCGTCCAATGCTACTGGACCGGTTGACTTTAGGCCCATCTCGTGTTGTAATATTGTGTACAAAGTCATTTCCAAGCTCCTCTCCTCTAGGCTTGCCCGGCCTTACTCGAGCACCATTAGCCCCATGCGGAATGCTTTCCTAGGAGGTCGGAAGATGGCGGATAATATTCATCCGGTCCAAGAGCTCTCGCGACATTATGAAAGGAAAAGTTCTTCTCCTAGGTGTCTTGTTAAGGTCGACTTTGCGAAAGCTTTTGATTCCGTCCAGTGGCCTTTCTTGAAAGAGATCCTCCTCTAGCTGGGCTTTCGACATCTTTTGTTCACTTGGTTATAACTTGTGTGGAGTCGACTGCCTACTCGTTGTAGTCAATGGTAGTCACTTTGGGTTCTTTCCGGGTAAGGGAGGTATTAGGCAAGGAGACCCTCTTTCTACTTACCTTTTTCTAATTTATATGGAGTATTTCTCCTATATGGTTACGAGAGCGACAAGTAGGGAGGAATTCAAATTTCATCCGAAATGTGGTGCTCACTCGTATCGATCATATTGCTTTTATTGATGATGTCCTCCTGTTTTATCGAGGCGATAGGGATTATGTCCGATGCTTATCCCAAGCAGTGAGTATTTTTGGAAGGACTTCGGGTTTAGCAATTAATGCCACCAAGTCATCTATTTACTTTGAGGGCATCGGCAGTAGCTGACGAGAATGCTATTCTTCAAGATTCGAGGTTCACGACAAGTTCTCTTCCTTTCGGATATTTGGGAGTTCCTTTGAGCCCCCACGGACTCCTTGCTAGTCGGTCCTCCCCTTTCCCACAAAGGCTAGAATCTACGATCCAAAGTTGGATAGGCAAACACCTTTTGTTCTTCGGGAGGTTGGAACTACCGAGATCGATTTTGATAGGCATGATTCAATTCGGCTCTCCATGTTTCCCATCCTCGCTTCAGTTATCTCCCAAATTATCATTATTTGCGGGAACTTCCTTTAGTCCGGTGATGCCAATAAATGTAGCTCTGCTTTGGTTGCTTGGAAGCATCTCTGCCGCCCTAAAGATGAAGGGGGCCTTAGTCTATTTGACATAAAAGCTAGAAACTCTTCCTTTCTTGTGAAACAATTGTGGGATGTCCATTTAAAGGCCGATTCTATTTGGATCCAATGGGCCCATCACTACTACTTACAAGGCCACACGGTATGGGAAACACGAGCTCACCGCGATGCTTTACCACTATGGAAGACTCGTTGTTGCCATAAAGGATCAGTTGATTGTGAGATATGGAGATAAAGCCTCTATCATTGGCATGATGGCTAGTTGGCAAGGCAATGATGGAAAATTCACCGGCAATGCTTATAACCAACTTAGGTCGAGGGGGAGTAGGTAAATTGGGTTCGGGTGATCCGAGAGCGATGGTCTCGCCAAGACATGCTTTCATACTATGATGGACTCGTTCGTGGAAAGCCGAGAACCGGGGATTATCTCCATTTCATTCCCGAAGATGCTATATGTCCCTTCCGTCTATAAGCGAGAGGAATCCCATAACCATCTCTTCTTTGCTTGTAGTTGAACGAGCACTTTGTGGTCTAAGATCAAGCAATGGCTCAACATCCGAAGAAGCATGTCAACTCTCGGGAGTGTCATCGGAGGACTACCATATCAACGTAAGAACCTCCTTGCACGAATGAAAAGAGTCTCCCTCGGCGTTGTTGTCTATCTAATATGGGGAGCGCAACAAGCGCATCTTCGAGGCTGCTATGAACTTAGTTGATAGTATATTCCAGCGGTTTTAGGTTCTCTTATATATGATCTTCTACTATCATGAAACAGATCATACTATCTTGGCTTTGGGTTAGTCGGCCTGCCTTTGGTGAACTCGGCCGTTTCGGTTTTGGTCGATCAAGGATACTAGGCTTTTGCTTGCTTGTTGGGGTCGCTACTATGTGCTTCGGCCGTTTCTCGAGTCGCTCCAGTGCCTACCAACAAATATTTTTAGGCTTTGCTTTTGGGCCTTCATATATATTGTTGTTCATATATATATAGGGTTATCTTTTGTCGGGTTATTCACCGAACCTATTAGTGTCGATTCTCTAACTATCCCTTCGATTGTAACTCGCTTTTGCTAGCCTTGATCTTTTAGTGAGCATGTTCCCTTTTTCCCCGTATATGTAAACTCGGGCTCGCTGGTTCTAACGAGCCTTTTTTTATCTCTTAATATACTTACCTTTAGATAAAAAAAAATAAAATAAAATAAAATAGATGAAAAAAAGGAAAAAAAAAAAGGAAGAAAATTGTGACATTAAAATTAAAAAAGAAAGGAAAATAAAAAAAAGGAGAGAAATGGTTAGTAAAAATACAAAAATAAAAACATAAAAAAATAAAAGCAAAAAATAATATATATATATATGTGTGTATGTGTGTGTGTGATAAAAAATAACAAAGTCTCTTATCTAATAGGGATTGATGTTAACTCAAATCAATGATATCTTAGTAATTAGATCATTATTTGACATACCGAGTTATGTTGAGACTTAAACTAGATCGACATTGAATTGACGAGATGCTTGGTGGAATGGTCCGATGATCGGTTCAATATGATGCCACAAAGAAAATAAAAAATTTTAATTTCGCTTAGGAAATAAAACTTAAAATTTTGACTTGGGATCAATTTTGGCAAAAATAGAAATTTTTAAGAGATAAACTTTTAGATATTTTTCTTAAGAAATGATACTTTTGAGTGATTGATATCTTTTCAAAAATATAACCAACTCCTTATCTTGGAATCTATGAACCAATATTCATTTTAAGTTCCTAGTTATTTTTTGGTACTATATGGCAACTCCAAAATTAATAAATAAATCATATCTTCAAATAAAAAAATTTCAAGAGTCTCGTAAATGTTGGATAGCAACATTCATGAAAACCATCAATATCATTGATTATATACCAATCCTAATAACCAACACGAATATACTTAAATATAGTTCTGCTTAAAACCCAACCGAGAAAATAGATAGTCTTGACGTTTTAAAAATGAGGATGAGATAGATTATTGTTAAAAGAAAAAAATAATTAAAGGATTAATTTGTATGGTATGGCATTTAAGGAGATTTTTTTCTTGATACTTAAGGTTCAAACCTTGGCATTGGCATCCTAAATAGTTTATTAAATTCTACTAAATGCATTATATCAATGTAGAATTAGTACATGATCATCCAATAAGAGAATTCAATATCGATTAACAAGCAAATTGTTTTTGTCTTTGAATTAAAAAATCAAGACTTAACAGAGAAAAATTAAACCCAACAACCTATACTTAAATATAGGTCCATGACATAATTTTTTAGTTGCATGGTATAAAAGGGTCGAC